GAAATAGAAGCTATAATCTTTTGTCAAAATCTTCTAGTAACAAGCTAATTAAGAACACTTATTTTGTACCCTTTTGCAATCTAAGTATAAAGAAGTCAAATTTAAACAAAAAGCAACTCGAATGACCAGAACAACACTTAATTTTAAAGATATATGCTTATAAAGCACAAATTTAAATTTTCTTAAACAAAGTAAAATGACCATTGACACGACTTATAAAACAAAAAAAAATTCTATTGAAAGCTTTTACAAAGTTGTCTATAGGAACGGTAAATATTGTTGTTGTGTGACCTATAAGTTACAGGTTCGGGCCGTGAAATCCAACTAGTAATGTTTGCATTAGGGTAAGTTACTTATGTCACATTCCCTTATGGTGCAATCCTTTCCCGAATCCTGCATGAATGCGTGATGATTCGTGTACTGGACTGTCTTTTTATAGGAAGCTTTTACAAAGTAAACTGGCTTTTACAAAGTAAACTGGCTTTGTGACCTTTTTCTTTTAGAAAACATTTTTTAACTTCAGCTTTTGACCATTTCATCACTAGAAGATATGTAATATTATACAAACTTTTAAATAACTATATACTATATGAATTTCCATAAAGTGAAGATTTTTGTTTCTGTTTCCTAATTCCTGCCTTAAAATGGTCAAAAGGTTAAAGTCCATTTGGAAGTGTTAGGCAAAAGAATCAAAAGATCAAACAATAGAGAAATAGATATTATTACTAGCTCTAAAAAAATTTAATACAAGCTGACAAAATATAGTTAGGAAAATACCATTTAATTCTTTCTTTATTATGCATGGACAGATGTAACATTCTTGTACGTGGACTAATTTCATGACTTAATTTGCTGACTGATTCTTTTCTCTGTCTTAAATTTTTATGTGTGTCTTGTTCTAGGGATCTCTTAAGAGTCAATATTTTGTTAAGTAGCCCTTTGAAAATGTTACTTGATTTTTCTTTGATTTTCTTAGCCTTTGTCTCCATATGATCTATAGGGTAACGATAGCTATAGAATCTGCTATTGGCACTTATATCAAAGTAGACTGTATACATTATATTTCTTGGGGTGCGGCCCTTTCCTAGGCAGTGGCAGAGCCACATGCACCCAAGGAGTGTCGACACTCCTTCGTCTGAAAATTATAGTGTGTAGCAGGGTAATATTTTAAAAAATATGTAGATATACTATATATTGACATCTCTTGACTTATTGGTGAGTTTATTTCTTTATATTTTGAACCCTCTTGATGAAAATCCTAGCTCCGCTACTATCCCTAGACCCTGTGTAAAGGACGAATATTTCGTGCATTGGACTGCCCTTCCTTCAGCTTGTGATTTTTAAACATTACTACATTGCTTTGATTTATTGCTTTTAGTTTATGCAAATTGACAGATCCATGTTCCTGTCTATATATGCGACTTGTGACTTTGTTAATTAGCTGGTGGTCCAATGTAATATATAGGCACATGATGTGGCTTTTTTGCGCTACTCAAGGCTATGATTTAGTTATAGTCATTATAGACTAGGTTAAAAAAAATAAAATAAGACCAGTAAAAGTTAAAGATAATTCTTAAATTAGCTAACACTTCAAAAAATAAGAGAGGCTATAGTAGGACTATGCGAATAGGCAGAAAATTTAACTTGTTGTAACAGATTACCTGTCTTATTTTTTCAGATTACTATGTACTTCACTTATTCCAGACAGGTACATGTTTAGATGACTTGATAATATAATTTTTTTTCTTACACTAGTATCTGTATATAAAAGTTAAACTCAGTGAATTTAACACCAGGGGCATAAGGAACGTAATTTATCTCACCTTTTACCATTATAAGGGCCCGTTTGCGCATAAAAGGATTCTTTTTTTTCAAAAAAAAAAAATTTGAAATCAGTATTCGGCCATGAAATTTTCGATTTTCGATAAATTTTGGAATTTTTCGAAAATTTGAAAAACTCCAAAAAGCTATTTTTCATTTTCACTTCAGATCACTCACAAAAATTTAAAAACAACCCAAAATTATATTCATGTCCAAACACAACTCTTATTTTCAAATACCATTTTCACTTGAAAAAAAATCACTTTTTCCGAAATTTTAGAGTTCTTTGTATCCAAACGCCCACTAAGTTAATCCAACAAAGCAAAGTTGTTTCTTTTTTGGATTAATTGACTCCTTGTAATATTTTCTACTTGGAACCAGAGCTAAATGAGGCTAAACAAAGAACAAATTCTTTCAAATGGTTTGACAAGTGAGGACTAATAAGTCCTATGAAACATTTCATGAGGACCAGACGTTTATTACAAAAGTCTTAGTATATGACATGGTAGCCTTGGAGTAACTGGTAAAGTTACTGCCATGTGACAACGAGGTTACGGGTTCGAGGAAATAGCCTCTTACAGAAATGCAGGGTAAGGTTGCGTACAATAGACCGTAGTGGTCCAACCCTTCCCCGGACCCCGCGCATAACGGGAGCTTAGTGCACCGGACTGCCCCGCCCTTACTATATGACCTGAAAAATACTAAAACATTAGGAGTATAATTCTTCAATTTGTATGGTAGTTATTAAATTCAGAACAAGAGAGTTGGTTTGCAGTAACATTTAATTTAAGATGCACCAATGGTTCCAAAGTACTGCTGCTTAAGACTTTTGAACATAACACAATGTGAACGTTTTGATGAAAGGCATATTTCTGGTTTGTGAGTGAGTTAATTTATTTATTTAATAGCTGCAGATCTAGCAAAATTATTTTACATTTATGTCATATTCAAGTAGGTAAACGCAGGTCTTTAAATGTCTTTGTCTTCTCCAGAAGGGGTGTACGGACCAGTTTGTGTGCACCTCGACTAATAATATGGGTATCTGCTATCTACTAGTAGTATAGATACCGACAGGTACCGATAATCGGTTCAGCAACACATGAGAAGAAATCACCTAATATTTTTGCTTAAACCTGAAATCTCATGATTTTCAACATACTTTATTGATCTGTAAGTCACACCCAAAAGTTATTACTTGTGCATACCAATTACCTTTACATTCCCAACTTCTATTAGCTATTTACATATGGTAATTAACTTTAAAATTCCTTTTAATGAATAAGAAAATCAACGATTACATATAATGACAAATTTAGTGGGTCATGAACACAAAGAAAATACTTAAATGAACGTCTATTAACAATCTTCTTATATGATAAGAGTATAACTTTTACTTAAGATTACTGGTAGTACCATCTACAGATATATCATATAGATACGTAAATACTACTAGTAGCTTTTAACTTTTATTCTGGATATTTTCTTATTAGACGGAGAGCCTTAACGCAGCCGTAAGAGTTAACTATCGTGTGATCTGAAGATTGAGGGTTTAAGTCGTAAAAATAATTTCTCACAAAATAATGTATGATAAGGAGCATACAATAGTCCTGTGATCCGACCATTCCCGAACCCGTTTATAGCAGGAGCTTAGTGCACTTAGTTT